GAACTAACGGTATACGCTGGCGGGGCACCAGTGAGGGATGATAGGTGAGATGAAAAGGCAGGTTAGTTAGCCCATTGTGATGAGTACTCCTGGAGTTCAGCACGATGATTTCCAGGGGCGACCACGTAGAGATCAACCTAATAGTGCTAGAAATGGGACTGATAGTTCACCTTACCAGGGGGAAAGGGATTGTTAGCAATGGAGTTTGACAGCCCCATTGCTAGCAATAGAGCATCTATTAGGTCGACCTCCACGTGGTTTCCTCTGAAAACCATCGTGAACCATTCTTATTGAATTCGACACGATGGGCTAACCGACCTGCTTCATCCTCACTGATGCCCCGCCGGTGTATACCGATAGCGCCGGTGGGGTTACCATTCCATTATCACCCATAAAAAAAAGTTCACCTTATTAACAACCCCTTTCCCCCTACCTTAATCTGTTAACGTTCCATTGCTATGCAAGAGTCTCTTCCTATTTGTGGGATACGGCGAGCTACATGTAGCTAGAGTAGTAACATTGGGACCGATTCCAAGGTGTCATTTTTCGAGATTTATGTCATAAGCTAATATTTTAATTTGATAATTTTGTGAAATTGCTGTTTTTGACTTAAATCTATTAAAAAATTAATTTATATTGGTCCTTATAAAGATTTCGGCGTGATATCAAATTGAAATTTTAGTTTTAATAACTTTAGAGAAATGATGCCTCAGAATCGACTTCAGTATCTCAACTACTAACACTTGTCGGGTGATTTGACACATTTTTTATTAATTAGTTTCACACAAATTCAAACAAAAATTTATCAAAGGTAGACTTTAGAGACAAATCGTTTGAAGGTACCTATGCCTCATTCATGTTTCAATTGTAAAGCTGTGTTTAGCTGTATGTGTGGGATACAGCTAAACACAGCTGCTTGTGCAGTGGTATATATTAGATAGATTATGGAACACACTTCTTCATGAAATTAGAAATAGCCCAAGCATTGGGATTTTCAAATCACGTCTGAAGAATTATGACATCTCACAATGCTGATGTACATACTTATTATATTTGTGTATTATATATAATATATGTATATCTATCTATTTATATGTATTTACTTATATATTTTTATTTATTTATTTATACCTATCGGTCTTTTCAATTGTAAAGACATTTTATTTATTTATTTTGAACTATAACATTTAAGTCGATTGGTACACATGTATGACTGTAACTACTAATAAACTGTCAGTTTTCTCATATTATGCTGGAAGAAATCTCTATGGAGATAAGCTCGCCTTTGTGCACTATTATGTTTGTTTTTACATTTCAATAACCTTTTGTGTACAATAAAGAATAAAGAAAGAAAGAGTGGGATATGATAGAAAATTTACAGAATATTGAGATAGGTGTTACTTCTCAAGAGGAATGAGAGATACCTTAGCCATAGCAATAGACATTGTTATGTCCAAGGTATTATTCGTGTCTGTAGACAACAGTGGAATTAATAAAAATTACATTTTACAGTCAAATTCAAAATAACAACAACAAATAAAGGCCACACAAACCTCGTAATGGACGGTTACAAATTCTCTTTAACGTACGAATACGGTGATTGTAAAAAGAAAAAACGCTGGCAATGTTCCAAAAACAGCTACAGAGGCTGCAAAGTCATCGTAATTACAAATGACGATGAATTAATTAGTGTTCTCCACGAACACAACCACTCACCGGATAAAAATTTAGTTATTTAGTTCCTGATCTGTGGCACCTTTCATTAAAGACTGTATTAAAAAACAGCGGTATTAAAAAAGTAATGACAAACGTTTATCTAATTATAGTTTAAGGATTTTATTAACTAATTTAACAATAAATACTTCTTTTCAACATTTGTTTTCTCTTTTATAGTAAATGAAAACCGAAGGGCACATCTAAAAACTTGGTTTTGAATCCGACAGTAATAAAAAGTGATGTTTCAAAACATGCAATTGTAATATTCTAAATGTTTATTGATTTTAATTGATCTCTTATATAGATCACAAAGTCATTAAGAATGATTAAAGTGATATATTGCTGTTCTAATACATTTAATTGTTTATTCTAGTATATATATATATATATATATATATATATATATATATATATATATATATATATATATATATATATATATATATATATATATATATAGTATAATTATATGTTTATAATATATTAAGTATTACTTTTTATATTTCCACCTACTTATTTATCGGTTTGCCCAATGATTGTTTGGTAGAGAACACAGTCTAATGTTAAATCTGCCATATGTACATAGTTTCACATTAAAGTTTAAATAAAATAAATAATAAAAATATATAGTATGAGCTAATAAGACATATTTTTACAGATACATTCATAATAACAACAACAAGTAAAGGCTACAAAAATCTAATAATGCATGGCCACAAGTTCACATTGTCGTACAATGACGTTCATAAGGGTATGAGGTGGCATTGTAGCAAACAGAGCTATAGATGCTGCAAGGCGGTCATATTTACTAAAGATAATAAACTAATTAGAGTTGCAAATGATCACAATCACCCACCTGATAAGAAGTTACTTCGTGCTTGGTGACACTTTTCATCGGACACTAAATTCTAGAAATTGTAAAAACTGTACTCGTAGTATTTTTTTTTATACCACTGAGGTGGTAAACAAGCAAACGGCCCACCTGATGGTAAGCGGTTACCATAGCCTATGAACGCCTGCAATACCAGAGGTATTACGCGCGCGTTGCCGACCCTGAAGAAATCTCTTTGCCCCCCTTTTGAAGAACCCCATGCTGTAGTCTATAAAATATAAATGATAAGAAAGAAATTGTAAAATTGTACTTACAATGAAAATTTAATAATAAATATTTTGAATAACATCCACGCTCTTTAATTACAAATTAAAAGATTCGTTTAATAATTGATGTGATTGTATCAATCACAACGACTACTTTCTTACTTTTTTATTACTTTGACTTTATAATGATAAATTATTCAACGAAAACTGAAGTATACATCTTGTTTTGAACCTTAAAGTCAAAGAAAAGTTTTTACCTTACAAAAAATCTAAACAAAGATCTGTAAAATATTTAGCTACAACCGAGAAGATCTCGTTAAAATGTGCAATATATTATTATAAATGTTCTTTGATTTATTCTTTGATAAATGTATTTCTTTGTTCAATATATCTATATAGAAGACAGAATCAATGAGCATGGTTGAAATGATATATAATATGAACTAATAAAGGTACTTATTACAGCCAAATTCGAAATAATAAAAACTAGTAAAGGCCACACAAATCTTATAATGGACGGGCACAAGTTCACGCTGTCGTATGGTGACGATAAGAAGGGACTACGTTGGCACTGTTCCAAACAGAGCTACAGAGGCTGCAAAATGGTCTTAGTGACTAAAGATAAACAACTAATTAAAATTATAAATGAACACAATCATCCAGCGGACAAGAAATTGTTTCTATACATCTCTGATCCATGATCGCTGTCATCAAATTACTATGATTTAAAAAAAATAACCCATAGATTAATTTGAATTATTTGTATGTACATAATGACATTGTTAAAATGTATGGTCTTATCACAAAATATTGTTATAAGATATTTTTTTTTTATTTTATAATAAACTGTTATTATACTTCAATGTGATAAAGTTGTTTTATTTATGCTAATGTATATTTTAATATTAAACTGTAAATAACCGATATTAAATAATATAAAGACTTAATATACTGTTTTAAAAACCTATCAAAAAATCTCCTCCTTAATTTAGACTTTTTATATAAATGTACATTTCTCCAGAGGGAGGCTTTACGAAAGTCACTTATACGGTTTCAGCCATAAAGTAGCTGTATTTGGCAAGCATTGCTTTCATCGCTCTATTTCAGTTTAAAGGGTGAGATATTGTAGAAAATTTAAAATTTATATAACACCATGAGGATTATCATCCACGAAACCCCTCATGGTGTTATGCCTTATGATATCTATATCATAATATAATCTGTAATATCCATCGTGATATTTATGTCTATAGGCGATGGTTCCCGTTTTCCATCAGATATGTCGTCAGCTTATTTGCAATTCCATCATAAAGAAAAAACACACTATAGACTCAGAGATAATTTCGTTGTATTGTCAATGGGTTTATGTCAAGTTCCTTGCATAAACTTGTATTGGAATAAAAACAAACAAACATTCTATAACGAAACTTTGTTGTAGGCAGACGTGTTGTTTGTTATTTTAATTTTATCACAAATAAAATTATTCAAAATTGATTCATAAAACTTATGCATAAGTGATATTTTGCAAGTGCAATGTCCGAACATTATTAGACAGTCGAGAGGCTGAAAAAAAAAGTAAAAAAAAAAATAACATAATGACGTTCTGCCTAAGTTACTTTAACGGAAAACATCACAGTCATTTCGAAGTAGTAATTAAAATAAATTTTTAATTAAATAAAACCAAATTAAACGATTTCTTCACGATCATCATAAAATAATAAAAAAATAAAACATATTCAAATTAAAACATGCATATTTGCTCCTTATATTATTAAAAAATAAAAAATATACCAATGCAACTCTTATTGTACTACTTTTTTTTTATGGGTGAAAATGGTATGGTAACGGTAACTCCGCCTGCGCTAACGGGATACGCTGACGGAACACCAGTGAAGGGTGATAGATGAGAATGAAAACAGGCCAGTTAGCCCATCATATAAATTCATCAGGAATTAACCATGATAGTTTCCAGGGGGAACCGCGAGGAGGTCGACCTGGTTGGGTATATTGCTAGCAATGGGATTCTCAGTCTCCATTACTAACAATCCCTTTACCCTCCAAACTTATTGTACTACTAGACTAATAAAATAAAAAATTCAGAGTATTTTCATAAAAAAAATCCATTGTCTTAAAATTTTTATTTTAAATATAATAAGTGATTAATAAGACTAATTATTTTACAGTTTCATTTGTACTAACAAACAATAAAGGCTATCGAAATCTTCTCATGGACGGCTACAAATTCACATTAAAATACGGCACTTTTGGTAAGAAAATGCGCTGGAGTTGTTCGAAACAGAGCTATAGAGGTTGCAAAGTTGCCATAATTACGCACAACGATAAAATAATTTCTATCGTAAACGAACACAATCACCCACCCGACCTGAAGTTTACATAAATTTTAAGGTTAATCAACTTATTCCTTAGTGTTTCTAGTATTTTAATGTTATTATGATGTATTTATATTAATCCATTCGATTGAAATCTGGCTACTAGATGCGCTCTATGCATTTTTCTAACGGATTGCATTCTATTTAACTCGTTTATGATCGAATGGTAGTTCCAGAAAACGATTAAACAATTTTTCCTACAAAGAAACGGTTTACTATAAAAAAATCGTACCAAAATACAACGTTATATCGTTATTATTTTTTACTTGGTTACTGTGTTGTTAACTTGTTTTATTTATATAAAAATATATTAATATAAAAAAAAATCCCTTAAGTAGTATTAATATCAAAAAATTTATAAAAATAATATAATAAAAGGACCTGATATGAAGTCAAATGAAAATCTCTGTTATTCATTTCATTTATGAGTAAAACAACCAAAAGCAAGCGAAAAACTTGCAAATAAGTTCAACATATTTAAGTTTTTTTTTTTAGTATTAATAATTTATCGTAGCATAATTGTATCATATGATTTTATTTAATGTCCCGGCTGCAATTCACATCCGCTATTTTTGGACAAATCGAAGAAGAATGGACGACCTTTAGAAATATGGAAAATGAAGCATCAACTTCAAGCCCAAAATTTGCTTTGGAAAAACTACCTGGACGCAATTTACGGCAGTGTGCGATCTGCAGTAATAGGAGGACTGGAATAAAACGTTCCAACCTTATCTGTTGCCGTTGCAAGAGGGGGTTACATGGAATTTGCGCAGCAAAACATAAATGTTAAACTTTTTTTTTTATTTTTATTTGGCTTTCCATTTTTTTTTTTATAACATACTACTTGTATATCTTTTGCCTTCTAACTAATTGCCTTCAACAGTTGTTTCCATTAATTCTTTAATTTTCTAAATTCTATTAAATTTCTAAAATTGGAGAAGTTATAAAGTTTTAAGTAGATATATATTTTTTATTTATTTTATACCCAAATTTTCTATAGCAGTTTTAGAATGTATTAGAATTTTGATAGATAGCTGTCAAACGGTTAAAAGGAAAACAAAAATTATGCAAATGCATGGAGAAGCTTATACGATCTTCACGAAAACTTTAAAGTGTAATAAATAATAAATATTATCATAATCATGATGATACAATCAATATTGCAGTACTACGGTTAATTCACTATAATATTAAAATTTTCCCCTTGCTTTATAATAGGTGTGTCTTAAAAAGTATACAATTGTATGGAGACACTTAAATTGCCATGAACGTCTACGATCGTCGCAGAAATTTTATTTTGTTTATTGTGTTATTAAATTACTTCTCTTTGAGTAAATTGTTTTTATCTCTTTGAGTAAATTGTTTTTATCTCTTTGAATAAATTGTTTTTATCTCTTTGAGTAAATTGTTTTTATCTCTTTGAGTAAATTATTTTCTTTTTATAGGTCACAAGACGCATAAAAAGGCGCAACATCTCACATTAGATGGATATAGATATGGTTTACAAATGATAAGTAACTTAGGAAAAGGCAGATGGAGATGTGTAAAGCAGAGGAAGGGATGTAAAGCTGTAGTGGTCACGATAGATGACACTGTCATTGCTGTTAAAAGTAATCATAACCATCCTCCATAGATTGAGGGTTACCTTTAGGAAAAGACTTTGTACAGTAATTATATCATGGGTATATATCTCTGTATATACATTTATATTTCTGTATATAAAATTAGCATATAAATTGACCATTTAAATACTATTAAAGTGATAATATTACTGGGATAATATTAGCGTATTGAATTTAATTTTTAATAAGAGCTTCCAGTTTTTAATTTAACATTTTTTTTAAACTATTTTTAATTAAAAAATTTTCATCTTTTAAATGTTAATGTATTTTTCATTATACTTAATATATTAAGTTGTTTAGAATAAAAATTATTGCTTACAGCGTGTTAACTGTACATAAATTTGCTTAACCAAATTTCGAGCTTACGTTACTAGATTATTTATAAGGAATTCTATTTAAAATTGTAATTTTACAAATTAACGAAAGAATTTAATGTATGTTGAATTGGTATTTTTATTACATATTGTTATTTCTTAAGGTTAATTTAAGGTTGTCTTGAAAAGATTGCTCTCAGCAATAAGACCGCTTTACTATACTTATACAATTGTATCGTTATATTTGTTAATTGTCTTGCTTATTCCCGATATTGTATAATGCAAATAAAGTATACTCATTCATTAATTAATTGTTATTTCTTCTAATTTACTCTCCGAATTTATTTGCATTTGAATTGCATATTTTAAATTAATGCAAATAAAAGTGGTAAAGAAATTTATTATTGTTATAATTCAAAATAGTATATATACATTTTAAATATATAGTGTTATTTATATATAAAACAATGCTTTTAACTCTGTATTATTTGAGCAAATGTTTTTTAATTAGATGATATATTTATTTTAGAATACCGACCGTGCTCTCAATACATTAATGTTTAACTTTTTGTACATTGTTGTTTTATTTCAAAGCCAACACATTATTTTGACACTTTAGAATCCAAATATTCGCATACAGCGCGGTTTTAAAGGGAATTCCTCCTGCAAACGCTAAGTCTGTGGAATGAGCTCCCCTGTCGTGGTTTTTCCTAGAAAGGGCGTATTTTTTTTTATACAGCTTAGAATGGCAAACAAGCTGACGGCCCACCTGATGGAAAGCGGTAACCGCCGCCTATAGACATGAGCAGTACCATGGACATAACAGAGTATACATATGTATGGGCATGTATAGTATGGGCGAAACAGCCTATGATACTGACCCATGCGTTGCCGCTCCTGAGGACTCAGGTGTTATTTCTCTGTACCCTGTAAATTCACGCCGCATCCCACTCTTCAAACCGAAACACAGCCATGAAACAACTGCTTTACGGTTGAAACACGAATGGGACAGAGGTACCCAAGCAAACGACTTTTGTAGTCTCCCTCTGGTAAATTTGCAATTATTAAGAAACTAGAAAAAAAAAGGTTCTCAATTCAACGACATTTTTATGTGAATTTTCTGAATTATTGTCAACAATTCTAAATCGGTTTTAATGATTATTTTGCAATCGATATAGTTCGCCTATATTGGTTCAGTAATAATTTTATCACGATATATTTTTATATAAATACATTTTATAACAGGTATATAATCTTCTTTAATATCTAACCCCCAAATATTAGTAATAATATAAATAAAAAAATAAAACAAATATATGTATTACTTAGCAACAATTTATTAAATAAAAAAAATATTTATTTATTTATATACTTTTGTACATTCACTTATAGTATAGATATTAGGTTATAGTAAAACTGTATATAGGGTCCACCCCTTAAAGGAACTTCTTCCAGTTCTTGAGAACCCGAAAGGACAAAGTGTCTAATAGGGTTTGTATATAAAGCATAACATATGTTGTAAAAATAATATGATTCGAAAGAAGCACCAATGTATTTAATACTTCATTAACTGCAATAATTATAATTAATTGTCTACATTTAATTTTAAATTTATATCGATATTAAACGTTTTGTATATTGTATGTGTGAACCAAAGACATATTTTGTTATTAGTAAGGTCATTACAAATATAAAAAAAAAAATCCTACATGCACCCCTAGTACAGACCTAATTTAGTTACAATTTTATTATATAATTAATAAATTATATAAAAACATTGAACTGTGATTAAAATATTGCCATCCTTGCATTACTATAAACAAAGTTCATATAAATATATAATTAAATTATACCATTATAATATTTTTGTAATGAACCTAATGTATTTTATAAATTACATATTAGATGGTCCAAATGAATTCAATAAACGAATTAATATAACCAAGTTTTTTATAGAGCAAAAATATACATGTACAAGTAACATATGTATAGACAGATCATTAGATGATTTTCTAGTAAGTTAGATATGGAACATCATGGAATGTGCATGATAAGTATGAGTATATTTTTAACCGACATCAAAAAAGGAGGTCGAGGAAATTGATTTTTTACAGTTACCAATTGTGATTCGATTTTAGTGGTCCCTTTTGGGAGGGAAATTCCCATATAAATATTCTTAATTGAAGTCGGTTTTTTTTGGTGAAAATACATTAAATTATTAAGTAACATGTACTAATTCATAATTTGAATTTGTGAGTTACATATTTGTAAATAAACATATTTACAAATATGTACTTACAAACTTAGAAATAGTGGTCAACCTTATGACGATATTGTCATATTATTATACATTATATTGTCAGGAATGGTAAAAAATATTTATTTATTTATACTTTATTGTACATACTACTGATATATAAAAAATATGACAGAGGTATAAAAGTAATGTAATGTACTAAAGCGAGCTTAACTCTAAAAGAATTCTCTTTCAACAAACCTAAACATTTTAGGTGTATCAAATTGAATATTATGTACGCTATCAGAAACAGATCGTTTGGCTTATTATATAAATCTCAAGTTATTTATTATGTTGTGACAATAAAATTATAATTAGGAATATACAGTATAAAGTACTTTACAGTATTGTTACAGTGGAACATAATGTCTCATTAATTAATATTATAATAAAATTTTACTATATAAGTACAAGCAATTGTATTTTAACTATATAAAATATATTGCTGCAAATAGCATAGATACATAGCTGAGCAGACAACGCAAGTCTACCTTTATGATTTGACAGATGGGAGTGACGCATAGAATTAAAATTGTTACAATTTTAATTTAAAAACTAAATTAAATTGTTCTTTAGATGTTTGCCAATATTTTTTTACACATATTTTATTTAACTTATTCATACATAATACTGTATTTTACATTGTAAAATAATTAATAATTTTACATTGTATAAATTTAGATAGTAAAATAAGAAAACATTATTAATTAAATCTTATATATAAAAATCTCGTGTCTGGTTGTTTGTGGTCGTACTCCTCTGAAAGGGGTCAACAGATTTTTATAAACTTGAAATGATTTGGTAGATATGAGATTAGACCGTACATAATACCAGCGGGTCCACCATGAAATGAAATTCCGAAATTTCGGACCCAATTTCGTGTTTTTGTTTAAACCAAAATCGGACCAATAAATGGAGTTGAACATTTCGTTCGCCATACATCTTATTATAAAAGTCTAAAGGAATAATATTTTAACATTTTTAATATTTCCAAACGGCATGTATTATGTAATTTTGACATCAAATTTGTGTTTCGTTTGGCTCCGAAATTTCGGAAAACATTTCATGGTAGGCCCTCTGGTGATTAGGATATCCCTATCCAGAAAAAGAAATTATATAACAGAAGAACGTTTACCGGGTCAGTACCGATAATGTATTATATTAAAGATTGGTTATATCTATATTTAATAATATTTTTGATATACATAAGAGAATAAATGTATCGATTTACATAGCCTTACATTTTATTTGAATTCAAAAATAATTTCTTTTACTTCAAATTAAGGAATCCATGTAAAACTGTCATAACTACTTATATTATCAGAATTACTCATGAATTTATATTTGAAATAACAAGTTTAGAGCTTGGCTTATGGAATCCAAAATTTGTTAAAACAATTCGAAGATTTAGATGAGTACATGATAATAAATATAATCGAACATGACTCACGGTAGTTATTATACAATTTATTTATTGATTAGTTATTTAGTAAATAACAAATATAGTGACATATTCATTACAAATATATTTTTTAAATTATTGGTATATAACGAAGACAGTTATTATACTTTTTTAATTTTTTTTTTTACACAAACTCTTGTCACAAATGGACACTACAGGAAGCTCACAGTAGTAGTAGATTACAATTCAAAGGTGAATCAAATTGTGTAAATAATTTACACAATTGGATTCACCTTTTCTAATGTAAACATTTTTTATTCATATAGAAATAATTAATATTTTTTTAATAAATAAAAAACATAGGCAACTTGTTTATATCATTTTTATTATATAAAAAAAGTGCTCATAGTAACAAATTACTGTGTGTATGAATTTGTGTTATTATTTTATGTCATAATAAAATATGCTAATGAGTAATTTATTGTTTTTGTATACATCACCTCCTTCTTACAACAAAATTTAATTACGTATAAAATGATAATCGATATAACATTTTTAAGGGTAACATTTTTATGGTTTAATTTTACCTAAAATAAATATAATAAACAAAATAACATTGTATATGCTTATCCGTGACGAGATATATACCCCCCCCCCCCCCTGCTCCTAGACAAAGTACAAACGAATCTATTAATAGAATCGTTATCGTTAGAGTCCGGGAGATAGAACGGGACAGCGACGTACGCTGTCTTATTCTTTCTTATGCGACCACTGATTGTAACGATTCGATCGATAAATTAATTTGTTTATAGAGGCAGATCAAATAATTAGAGACATTTATCGAATAATCCTTGTGATAAATATACTACCATGTAGGTTTTCACCGTCAGAGTTGAGTCTACTGAACTCACACAGAATATTTAGTTTTCTCAATGGTGTTTCCCATTACAGGAAAGTTAGTCAAATGTAATTTTTGGTGTCGGCCAATTTGAACTCACAATTATTACGGGTTTATAAGACCATAATAATATATATCGTTAAGCTTTGGCAGTTTCATAAATAAGTACCTATGTGTACACATAGTTACAGAATTCATATATTCACACATCTATAATCCCAGAGAAGGTAGTCAGAGACATTAAATAGATTCTTATATAGTTCTTATAAAAATACTGTTCATATAGACAGTGATATAAAAAAAATCTTGATTTAATAATTACTATAACATACAATTGTTGAGCAACAACTTTTTATACTATATAAAAGGTAATAAAGGTAAATTACTATTAATTAATATAATCCAGCAATATATATAAAAATAACAAGACAATTAGCAGTTGGTAACAACTTTTAATGGTAATTTAAAAATATAACAGATTTTATACAACAAACTAACATATATTGTAACAATTTAGCAATTGTACAAAATATTTCTTTTGTTATGCTGAATTTATTGTTATAAGCTCAATGTGCACTTCATTGTTTGTAATTTTTCTTGATCCTTGTATACAAAAAAAAAAATATTTAACTTGCTTCCATATAGCAAGTGTTATTAACAAGTAAAAAGATAACTTGTAGTTTCTGATTGTATCTAAAATTATGCGA